AAAGAAGAGAGAGAGAGAGAGAGAGAGAGAGAGGGGGGGGGGTAGAATAGAAACCTGAAAAGATTCTAACATTATTTGAAGATGGATATGGTAAAGAAGTGAAGCACCATGTAAAGCAGTCAGCACGCGTGTGCGTCAATGTAACAGTGTTCATTTGTTGGCTTGTGTGTCAAATACATCAGTTCTGCCTTTTTTTCCATGTTTACCTAATTTTTCAGCATACACCAGGGCCGCCTACAGGTTTTGTCCAAGTCCTAAAATGTGAATAGGACAGAAGAAGTATATGTGATGATAACCAATATATTTCCAACACAATATCAGTTCTATGAAAGTGTCTTCTGTATAAGCTAAGATTCTGTTAGCCCTGTTGTAATTCCTCTTACCAGGTAAAATCCAATAGTTACTGTGAGAATTTTCACAGTTTTAACCCACTAACCTACCCCCCCCCAATAAAAAAGTAACCCCAAAGAAACCAGAAATCAACCAAAACAAGCAAAACCGAAAAGAAAAAGACAAAAAATAAAAAAAATAAAAAAAATAAAACCAAGCCAAAATTTTTTAAATTAAAATAACAGATGTGGTGGAAACATGTCACTCTTGGCACCCAGCAGGAGCTACAGGAAGTCTTTTAATAATTGTAAGCATGAACATTTTGTGATGTCATGAAATTATTTCCGGTTGTGATTGTGAGAATACAATGTCTTCGGGTTCTGTGCTCTAGGGAAGTCATCTGAAACTGGTAGCCTCATAATCAACATCTTTGGCGTTAATAGATTTGAAGACCATCGTCTGCGTTGTAGCGGTCGAAAAAAAAAATGAGTACGATTCCCAAGTCAGAATTCTATTTTATCCAGCATCTCAATGTTTTTGCTGAGGTGCACCACCCTATCCAGTCTGAGTTGGTCATGACAGACAAGGTCAGGAGTAGCCTGCCTCAGAAAAAAATTTACTTTGTATCGAAAGTCGCGTAAAAGTCCCACAGTAGATAAACATCAACAGGCTTGTAGACTTGGTTGCTTGAAAACCCTAACCATATTTAAACATATATTTTATTCGATTAAAAGCATAACGTACGTCGTGTTCGTTCTCTGGTAAGGGAAAAATCCCCCGTCGCACAAATTCAAACCTATTAACGTATTCCTAAGATTAACGGCATGCTTTTTCAAAAATATTAATTATACGATGCCTGTTGTCAGCTCGGCTGTTTAGTCGTGCTAGGCTATGGGTGCTGATGCCCTGGTTTGAACCACTAGCAGGACGTTTTTTAAATGAGCTGTTCGGGGAGTAAAGCTCTCCACCCACTTGGTTTCGTCCCATTGGAGATTAACTCTTAATTAGAAGGTCCTGCCTGTGAAGTG